GGGGGAATGGCAAGGGGGGGAAAAAAAGGAGACATATGTAATACTCTTTTTAATACTTTAAGAAATAAAAATTATTAAAAAAAAAAAAGTGTGACAAAGAATGAGTGAACAGGAAAAGAGAATGCTAAGACCTCCCTGAGTTTATGGGAGAGAAAGGAGAGCTGGAAGGAACAGAATTCTCTGCCATCTCAGATTTGTGTACGGTTACCTTACTGGTTAGTAAATATGCTCAGTAGTGCAAAAATGGTTTGGTCAGTCTAAATCCAAAGGGATTATTTGTATCCTCTGTTTGTCAGTACATGAGTTTTCAATGTAGCTTTCTTCAAAATCTTGGACATGAAGAAATAATTGCCTTCTGTAGTTATTTTAAAATTAGTGCATATTGAAGCCAAGTATGGATTTGGAGAATCTTGTTAATGAGAAAAAGTGGCTCTTAGGGCTGTAAGATGGAACTTCAACGTGACAGTGTATTCCTGTTGTTAAAGAATGATGTGGTCATGATGTGGGTAGGTCAACTTTGGAAAAATGGCCACATATGCAGATGTTGAATAGTGTCCATCTAAGCCCTGGCTAGGAGATGGAGCCTGAACTTGTGCCCTTGAATTATTCCCATCTTTCTGGTTGGGCCATCACTGATGAATAGATAGATATGAGGGTCCAGAGGGGGGTAGCCAGGGCAACTGTTTATAGTTCCTGTAAACTCTTCCTGATCTAAAAGCATGCTTAACAAGGAACTGCTTTTTGGGTTTTTTTTGGAACTGCTTTTTTAAAATGGTCAGAATTTATTGTTGAAATTCAAACAGAGCAGAGATATATAAAATAAAAAGCAAAAGTTCCCTTTTATTTCCTTGCCTTAATCTCACCCCTCAGAAGTGAGCTAATCTATGGTGTGATGTATCCTTCCTGATGTTTTTCTGGGGAGACCCTCACACACTCAAGAATTTGTCCTTTTTAAAAAAATACCAAAAAAATGGGATCATCTAGTTCTTACAAAGCTTTCTGCTGAGTATTTGCCTTCCCTCATTGGTTTGCCCGTAGTGAGAGCAAGCATTGGTCATAAAGACACAGATTTCAAGAGTTCTACACTTTGTGACAGTTATTTCTCATTATAAATTAATTGACTGGTATATAGACCAGTGCTTGAGTGTTTACCACACGCAGTGTGAAACAGTTGGGGTTCTGAGCCATCAGGGCCTCTCTGCACTTTGGAGGCAATCTGGGAGGCTTCTCGGGCAGTAGCTTGCCAGCCTTTTCTCTGATGTACACGTTTGCCTCTCTTTATACTTGCCCTTGCCAATGACTGTGAGCATGAGCCTTGTTAATATTTCTTCTGGGCCCTACCGGCCCATGGGGAAGAATCTCTGCTTTATCAAAATCTATATACGGCCAGCATAATAGTGAAATTGCCTTCTTAGTTCCTTGAGCTCCTTCCCATGCTCTTAGAAAAGTTTTCTAGGTACTCAGAAATGAATATGAAAAATTGACGACAGTGTTTGTATTCAGGCGGTGGTTGCAGGAATCCAGCAGGCTCATGCGGAACAGTTGGCCAACATGCGAATCCAGGATCTGAAAGTCAGCCTCAAACCCTTGCACTCTGTGAACAACCCCATTCTGAGGAAGAGGAAATTACTTGGGTAACTGAGCTTATTTCATTTATTCTCGTTCATGGTTGGGTGGCCCATTTTCTGCCTTTTTAAAAATATATATTTTTTTATTGATTTCAGAGAGGAAGGGAGAGGGAGAGAGAGAGAGAAACATCAATGATGAGAGAGAATCATTGATAGCCGCCTCCTGCATGCCCCCCACTGGAGATTGAGCCCACATCCCGGGCATGTGCCCTGACCAGGAATCAAACTGTGACCTCCTGGTTCATAGGTTGATGCTCAACCAGTGAGCTGCCTCTTAAGAGGGTGGGAAGAATAAGCTGTTTAAATAGCATCAAAAGTTGGAGATGCTCTATTGTTAATTTTCTGAAAAATCGGTTGCTTTATGTTTAGAGTTAACATCTGTTGAGTGTTAGGTTTTTGGGTCTTACCTTGTTATTATCTCTCCCCCAAACTTTTAAAGCACCAGGCCAAAGGATGGTGTGTATATCCACGATCGTGAGAATGGAACCGAGGATTCAAATGTTGCCTTGGAAAAGCTCCGTGATGTGATTGCTCAATGTATTCTCCCCCAGGCTGGTAAAGGTCACACCATTTACAAATGCTGTGTGTGTGTGTGTGTGTGTGTGTGTGTGTGTGTGTGCACATATGCATGCATGCACATGACAAAAGGAGTGGTTTAATTTGAGGTTGTCTGTTTCATCTTTGTGTATAAGAAAGTAAGTACATTATATAAATCAGTCTTTACCCATTCAAAAGAGTGGATGATGTGTTAGGGTAAATTCTACCCTTCCTTTGTTTTTTTGTGACATTTGTAATTTAGGTTTAATTGCCAGTGCCAGGTGCAGCATGTAATTTTATATTTTCTCGGTTTATTAATGAGGGCATGTGATGGAGAATGGAGAATGTGGACAGGGTCAAGTTCAGTTTGAAAAGGTCAGGAGACGTCATTTCCAGAGCCGTTAGAGTTCAAGGCTTTATTAACTTGTGAATATAAAGAGAATACGCCCCCAGGTCAGAAGTGGACTCTGCTGCTACTCATGTGATGGGCAGAGTGTGACTTATATGTGGATTCTTTTGAGTGAGAGTTTGCTTTCAATATGTTATTTCCCCACTCAGTGGGGTGTTATGGGCTTTTCTCAGCAGATGAAAGAGATCCTTCAAGTAGTAGGCAAGAAAACTGGTGGGTTGACCTGTCTTCCTACTTCTTGCATTTTAAGGGAACTCATATTTAATGTACCTCCAATAGCCTTCCAAAATAAGAAATGAGCTTAGGAGAAAGAAGGTAGCCCGCTCAGCCTTGTTCTTCCTCTATCTCTTGGTCCATTAGCTTAACCAGAGACCAAAGCTGTTTTTGCTCAGCAATAGTCTGACACTGCCTATTCCCATCCCCCAGTGCGAAGACTCTGGGGCCATCAGAGGATTTGTGTGAGGCTGTCCCAGTAGACGAGTTCAAAGACCAGAAGTGGTTTATATATCATGTAGACATTAGCAGGAACAGCAGTGGCTGGTGAAGTTTGTACCTTTAGTCATCACTTTTCAACAAGTTGAACATCATGTCCTTCCATCTCTGACACTAAATGCTGCAGGGAAATGCAACTTCTTCATCTTTATCAATAGGCGAGAATGAAGATGAAAAGCTGAATGAAGTAATGCAAGAGGCTTGGAAGTATAACCGGGAATGCAAACTCCTGAGAGATACTCTGCAAAGCTTCAGCTGGAATGGTAGGAGCCTTAATTACTTCTTTCCCCAGGAATACAATAAAGTGATTGTTTAGAACGTGTAGGAATCTTTGCAGGCCTACCTGGAGCTATTTTTTTATTGTTGTTAATTCTCACCGGAAGATCTTTTTCCATTGATTTTTAGAGAGATTGGGAGTGAAGGGGAGAGACAGAAACATCGATGTAAGAGAGACACATAGATTGGTTGCCTCCCTCACACTTGAGCCTGCAACCAAGATACATGCCCTTGACTGGAATCAAACCTGGGACCCTTCAATTTGGGGGCCAACACTCTATCCACTGAGCCAAATCAGCTTGCTAGAGCCTGGCTTGGTTCTTGGACAAGAGAAATCCAGAGTGATAGCCTGGAAGAAATTAGCTTCCCTGGTATGTTTTTTTAAAAAAGATTTTGAAATATCAATACAGAAAAGTGATCACATTTGAAGTGTGTACTGTTGATGAATTTTTACAAAGTGAACATTCCCTATAACTAGCCCCTAGAACATGTAGTGGAACATGGACTCTCTTCTAGTCACTACCTCCCACCCCCAAGGGTTATCACAATCCTGATTGCTAGCACTATTGACTTGTATTTTATATAAATGGAATCAGACATGTCTGTGTTCTTTTGTGTCTGGCTTCTTTTAGTTAACATTATATTTGTGAGATTCAGCCTTGTGTGTAGCAGCGGATCATTCTCATTCTCTCTCTCTCTCTATATATATATATCTACACTAATAAAAGAGAAACATGGTAATTGGCGTACGACCGCTACCCTTTTCATTGGCTAATCAGTGAGTATATGCAAATTAACTGTCAGCCAAGATGGCGGCCGGCAGCCAGGCACTGAAGCGAGCAGGGAGGCTTGCTTGCTGCAGATTCCAACGTTCCCCGCCT